TCTTGCTGGATTTTAATCCTTCAGACCATTACTTCATATTTAATTTCACTATTCCTTATATCTTCCTGTTTTTTTCCTCTCTGCTGCTTCAGTTCAGCTGTTATCCCCACTCCATATCCAAATGCACATACAGAAATATCACGCTCTATCAGTTCCTCTTGCTTACTCAAAGCTCCATTATAGCACATACCAGGACTTTCACACACTGCTGCCCAGCACTGAGTCAGGTGTTAATGAAAGGGCAAACAGCCCTTTGCTGCTTCATATGGTGGATCTCGATGCTGATAGTCAAACTCCTTTCAGAAGCAGATCTGCCACAGGCTTCAAAAAGGAGATCCGCACATGTGGGCAGAGGAGAATATTGGAGTCAAGATCTACCCATGCAGATCTAAAGATAATTTTCATTAGCTAGGAAGCCAGTCAGACGTTTAAAAGTTGACACAGACAATTCAACTTGGTTGGGAATTTTCAACGTGAACAGCAAGGTGGTCTGCAGCCTAGAAAACTGTAACTGTCAGAAAGCCTAGTTACCAAGAGGGCCGTTTCATTCTTTACATTGTGTTTCACATTTAAAAGCTCAATGCCCATTAGACAGAAATATCCATATTCACCTAAGGATCTCAGCTGCCACCACTAGGCACTTCCCAAATTTAGTCTGAAACTGACTTTAACCTGAAGAGATGAAACATAAGCTGCAGTGCCCTATAAAACCTGGATCTCGATCATGATACTACAGCCATTTGCCAATGGTGACTTTGCTCCCCATCAGAGAAAATGCATGTTAACATTAGGAATTAAGAAATATCCTGATTAGAGGCATCATGTCTTCATCCCTTCTGCCATGCTGTGGAACACTCATTCCAGCAGGGGACTCCACTTGACCAGCAGAAGGTAGTAGCAAGTAGTTAATATATAATTAACATACAACAACAATTAATTACTCAGCTTCTGACCAATAACTATGACATTCAGCTGCTTTTGCCTGCCTCACAGCACAGAAACATTTGCAACTCCCACAGACAGCTATTAATTCAAATATGCCCTACTTCCCCCAGCAAGTGCAGAACACAGGCCAAAGGGAGCATTCCAATCTGTTGCACAGTGCGGTATGAAGCAACATTTCCACACACCCCAGCATGCACAGCATGCTGGAAATTAGACCCAAACCCTACCTCTGCAGACAGCAAGTTGTCAACATTCTACTCGAATATTACAAAATACACCCAAGTACACAGTCATCTTAATTTTTAAATGATTCCTGTTAGTTTGTATGTCGTGACTTTAGAACGCTGTGCAGCTATACTCTAGAAACTTCAGAGTTATGACTGACTGAGCTATGGCTGGTTAAGGAGTGTTTTCAAATGCATCGCTTAATTGCTCCCTGTACATTAACTTATTAACAGAGGCCTGTTTATTGACTCTGCTTTGTGCCAAGTGCTTACAACAGCTACTCCAGGGTCCCCAGTGGAATCTCTCTATACACATACCGCAGGTAACAATTCCTGCTGATGCAGCATCATGCTGTTCTTCCAGCTGTTCTGGTGCCAGCCAGAGAAATAGGGTCAGCATTGGTATCTTATTTGTTTCCTGATGCTTGACTTGCATCCTCCTTCCCTCTAGAGAGAGCATTGTTCACAAAAGCACTTTATTTTTATTGCTCCTGTTAAGCTCTTTTGCTCTTCAGCAGAGGCTGCTCAGCCTAGCAAAACCCAGAGTGCAGGCTCTCCAGTGGAAGCAGTGTTTTGGTTTGAGAAACGTCTCCTGCCTTTGCTTCTGCTGCTGTCGTACTTCTCACAAAAAATTCCACAACAAATCCAACTCACACAACGCTTCTAAGAGCAGAGATCTTTCACTGTGTGCTTCACTCATGTCCTAAAAAAGTGTTAAGCCTCAAACAGCAGCAGGCAGAAGGAAATTGCTTGCTAGGTGGACTGCAGTCCTGCTCATTGACTTGTGCAATTATTCAAGAACGTCCTTGCTCTGAGCATGTGGATATGTGTCTTGATTCACTAGCTGTCAGATACAATTCTGTTTCACGTCCCCTAAAAACATTACCAGATTTTGATTAAGGAAGGTCAAGGATGGCTTTTCCCTTCCAATATTGAGACTTGAGGGGAAAAAAGAAAAAAAAAGTACTCATCACCTTTTATCTCCACTTGAAAAATATCAAATTGCCTGAAATGACAGAAGCCATAGATAGCAGTACGTACAAGAACGTTGCTATGCAAATAGGTTCCCAAAACTACAGCATGTAGGTTAAATCCCCTAAGAAGTATTTTTACAGAAGAACAAAGCGATGCTCAGGCAGCATCTAAGACAATATCGATTTGCCAGAGCAATTTTAAATGTGTATTGTTACTGACCTAGCATATTGGAGACTTAAATTAATCCTTAATGCTTCAATACATTTAAAAAGAAAGAAAGAAAGAAAGAAAGAAAGAAAGAAACAAAACAAAACCAAAAAAAAAACCCCAACTTCCCAACTTTCCCAGTATTTGATTTGCCTTTGAAGGTAAGAATATCAAGAGACATAATCAGCTCTAGCTGCAGACTCCAAATCTTCGCCTGGCACCACTGTCAATAAAACACATCCTCAGCCAGTGTGAAATTGGTATAGCTACACTGGATCTGCTACATGCAGCTGCAGTATTTCACACCAACTGAGGATCGAAGTATACATGTATAAGTGAAGGAAGCATACGTTCTCATCTGGATTGATAATGCTGCAGAACACAGAGCATCTCAAGCTGAGTAAAACAAATGACAAGTTCATAAGAAATATATTCTTCTAATTGAGTTTAGGGCACTAAATAACTGCTGTCTTCTAACAGATAATCAGATTCATGGAGAGTATCTCTACATTAATTAGGAGCAAGACTGTCACATGGATTTTAATGAAATAAAGTTATGTCTGTGGCTTCTCTAGGATATTGAAGTCAATTTATCTGAGGAAGACACATAACAGCTGGCTTTTTCTTTTTGTAGGAATTGGAAGAACAGTACACTGAAGAATGTAAGCAGGAGTTAGCATTCAGAACAAGGTCTTATCTGCTAAGGCACAGATTTTGATATTCTGAAAGCCTCAATCACCAAGATGGAATTATAGAAATCCAGCAGGCTGATAGAACAACAAGTCATACTGCCATCGTGCTAGAGCAGTGCTCATGGCAGTGAGCATGATGCATAGCCAGGACTTAGATAATACAGAATGCAGCCAAAACATTTTTCAGCTACAAGCTCCCAATCATGCTGGCCTCAAATCATCTGGCCACACAGAAATATACTTGCCAGCATCGTATTAGACAACTACTGCTTCCCGTCTTGTGCTGCTAAACGCAAGAGAACTTCAATCTAAATGAAAGGTTTTTAGCTGTCTTAGTCCAGTACAACACCAAGTCGGGAGGGAGTGTTGATCTGCCTGAGGGAAGAAAGGCACTACAGAGGGACCTGGACAGACTGGATCGATGGACCAAGGTAAACTGCATGAGTTTCAATAGGGCCAAGTGTCGGGCCCTGCATTTTGGTCACAACAACCCCAGGCAACCCTACAGGCTTGGGGAGGAATGGCTGGAAAGCTGCCTGATGGAAAGGGACCTTGTTGTGCTGATGTGCAGTGGGCTGAAGATGAGCCAGCAGTGTGCCCAGGTGGCCAAGAATGGCATCCTGGCTTGGATCAGGAATGCTGTGGAGAGCAGGACCAGGGAAGTCATCCTGCCCTGTGCTTGGCACTGGTGAGGCCTCACCTCCAGTGCTGTGCTCAGTTTTGGGCACCTCAGTACAGAAAGGACATGGAGGTGCTGGAGCAGGTCCAGAGAAGGGCAGCAAGGCTGGGGAAGGGCTTGGAGGATGTGTCCTATGAGGAGAGACTGAAGGAATTGGGGCTGTTCAGTCTGGGGAAGAGGAGGCTGAGGGGAGACCTGATTGCTCTCCTCCAGTATCTGAAAGGTGCTTACAGCAGAGCGGGGTTGGTCTCTTCTCACTGGTGACAGGATGAGGGGAAAAGGCCTCAAGTTGTGCCACAGTAAGTTTAGACTGGAGATCAGGACAAAGTTCTTTACAGAAAGGGTTGTTAAGCACTGCAGTGGGCTGCCCAGGGAGGTGGTTGAGCCACCATCCCTGGATGCGTTTAAAATCCATTTGGATGGGGTGCTCATGGACATGATTCAGCAGAGGGTTGTTAGAGTTAAGGTAGTGTGGTATTGGCCGTAGTTGGACTTGATGATCTTTAAGGTCTTTTCCAACCTGAGTGATTCTATGATTCTAAATAAACTGCCAAACCCCACTTAGCATTTTAGAAAACAAATATCCAAGTAACTATCACTGAAGATAAGAAGTGACAGGACACGACAACTCACAAGTGTGCCAAGCTATTTAACAAATAGACACCAGCAAACTACAACAGCTAACGGTTTCCATCTGCTCTCACCTGTGGGACCTCACTGGACTGATCCTCACTAAAAACCACAGGAGAGTACCGTGGTGTTACATTAACCCTTCAATCTTGTTTAGCATTTTAGTAATGAAACCATTCACACACACTATGAAAATTCAGACCCTCTCCCATAGGTTAAGAAGGAGTATCTCCTTGTCAGAATAAATGTTTAACATTTTTCAATGAAACACGTAAGATTTCCCTTGAAGTTCTACTCAGTTGTACTCCAGGCTGATGACACCCCAGTTCCTCACTGGTACCAAATGTCCCCTTGATTACTCTAACTCAGGGTGAAGTGGATTGGATAGGACCTGTTCACTACTACATTGCATAGCCTTTCAAATAGAAAAGTTCCTCTTTTTTCACATTCCGCAGCAGCTGCAGCACAAGTGACCAATGTTTCTTCAGTCACTACTACACTGAAGATCACAAAGTTGTTTCACAGTATGAGTCTGCATGTGATCTTCCCAAAAATGTTTTAAAACAAGCATACAACACAACTGCAGAAGTAATTTCACTGACTAGCATAGTTTAGTAAGAGTTGTAACATGAGAAAAGCATTAGCTGGTGTTTTTTTTACAAATAGGATTTTAATTCAGTCCATGTGCTTTCTGCACAACAGAAGGGTGTCACAGCAAAAAAAGCAAGTGCTCCACACAAAGCTCCTGATGCCTAATGCTTCAGGAAGTCAACAATTTTTTTTAAAAGACGACCATGCAAGGTATTGTTATAGATGTTATTATCCTGGTTTGGATCAGTCACCATCATATACAACTCTCCTGCATGGACATCCTCAAAGTCAGCACTAAAGTTCTCAGGATTGAACCGAACCCACACAGTGTATCTGTAGCCAACCATACGCATGGAATAGCCCATGATTCTGATGTCTTTTAGCTTCGGCTTGTCAGAGTCCCACTGTGGAGTGTCTGCAGGCCGGGGATATTGGCTGAAAGCAACAGGTTCTTCATTGTAACACCTCTTAGTGTCATTACAAACATCCTCCTTCTGTACCGTCTGTTCAGAGGACTTAAAATACCGGACAATGCTTGCCCCCTCAGTGCACAGTGCAACACGAAATGAAGTCTGTGGGCATGCAGGAGGAACCTGCAGGCCAGCAAGTTCAGCAAGCGTTGAAAATAGGGAGACAAGCTCCACCATTTTTTCGCTTCGTCCTGGAAGAAACACCAAAAAACATATTACTGAACATGATGACTTGACATTGGTGCATATTTGAAACTTACATAATTAAATTGGTATTTTATTGCAAGTGCTCTGTACTAGATTTGTGGAGTAACAATCAAGGTGTGGCAGTCTGCTCTGAGGATGCTAGGCTATACATATTTTAACAAGAAGAAATTTTTGCACTTACAGTTCTCAAATGTGCAAATTCTTCAAGACAACGATATTCATTACTTTGAGAAAAAAAAATCAGAAACACAAAGCAAATTCCAGTGTCAACTGTTTAACGTGTCTGCCTTTATCAAAACAGATCTTAATGTCACAGTGCTACACAGAGAACTCTTAGTTATTACTGTTTCAAAGCAGCTGCCACTACAAAAGGGAGGTTGAGCATTGTTTCCACAGTATTCTTTTGTAGTGCAGATGCCTAAATTACCTGCTGGGTTAATGCAGGCATCTACTGCGAAGGTGTAGCCAACCATAGTAAAAGTCTGTGTCCAAACACGGAACATTCCCTTCATCACTTTGTTCCCTATTAGTACAGAAGCACGCTCAATAACACTGAGAAGCTGCTCATATTGGAAGCACCATTGTATCACCCCTTGTTTTTTAAATATATTCAGTGCAAACAAACAAAGCCAAAAATTTACCTTGCGGAACCAAGCCTAAAATATGGCTAAAGGGATCAAGGTAGGGGAAGACTCTCCCTCCTCGACTAGCAGAGGAAGTCGTCATTCCTGGTACATAAAACATCAGCGGCACTCGGGTAGCAACATCAAAATTGCTGTATTTTGCCCATTCACCATGCTCTCCCAGGGACCATCCTAGACGACAGAGTGTAATTCAGAGCAGATACAGACTTGTAATCTAGAAGTCACTTCTTTTTCACTGTAAAGTGACTTTGGCAGTTGAGGCCATTAGTCTTACCAAGGTCATATTAAAATGCAAATAACCTATCTATGTTTAAACATAACAAGATTTTTCTAATACGAAAACTATTTCCACAGCCATGTAAATCTTGCAACTTGATATTCTCATATCAAGGAAACAATTACACCTGTCTCTATTTCCATTACCTTAGATTAGAATTAGGAAATCAGTATTAAAAGAGAATGAAAGAGGAGCTGGGGTTAGTCATCGCACCTGCAGGGATCTCCACACTGTGTCCACAAAGCACTAGTTTCAGCTTTGTGCAGCTGTCAGCTCTCCAATACCAGTTACACTGTAACTGAATATCCCTTGGAGCTATCTGCTATCTAAGCCAGACTGCCACAGCAGGATGCTACCCTGAAGGAAGCAATAGAGGTAAAATCTCTTTAGCTTTCCTCATCCTCCTGGAAGAGACACCAACATGACTTCCTTTCATGGCAGACTGATTGCTAACTTCACTATTTCCAAAATTTTTTGCCTCGCTTTGCTGCCATGGTATGGAAACACCACAAACACCACTTGTTTACAGTTAACCACAGCAAGAGAAACAGGAAAAAAAAAAAAAGAAAGAAAAATAAAGAAATGAAAGAAGGAAATTCGGTCTACAGACTGAGTGACAGATTGGCAAGTCAGGAGCTACATCTAGAGCTTCTTTTGTACATGAAGTGTAAATTCTATTACTCTGCAATTCACAAGGGCTTTTTTTACACAGACATGCTCACAAACCCAAAATAACCAAATTAACCAAACACATGACTTTAAATTAATTAAATTGGCAATTAAGAGGACCACAGGAAGATTATCTTAATGAATGTTAGAATACTGAAGCAATTACAAGCTTGAGGTATTTTTCCCATAATCCAAAGACCCCAAATATGAGGGGGGAAAACAAATTGTTATCAGTTTAGATGCTGCTAGCAGCAATGACATACAAAAAAAAGAAAATAACCCAACATTTTAGTGGTTAATGAGAAAGCTTGTTGCCCGCTATAGCAGATGCCCTTTACAAATTGCAAAGAGGGCAACATGGTGGCAATCCTTTAGCAGCAATCCTCCCAGCAGAAGTCACTCCCTGGGGCAGGAGGTGGGAATGTACTAAGCTCAGCCCAGTGTTCTGGCAGACAGCCTCATCACCCACTTGTCTTTATTACTCATAGCCAACCCGCAGCCTGATGAAGGACACAGAGGTGCCTGCAGAGGAACAGAGCCACAGTCACAGAACTCCGTGTCGGTCCATGAAGCAGGGACAGACCAGCCAGATATACAAGGTACAGCAGCTCTGCTATGCATTATAAAAACACACGTCTGATTAATATGCCTAATATTAATAAATATTAATAATTAATATTTATATGAGTTTCACAATTAAGAATTTAGTAGCAGTGAGCTGGAGGAAGATTGAGATGCTTACCATGATCAGCAGTAAAAACTACTATCGTGCTACTTGAGAGTCCTACATCATCTAAAGCATTCAAGAGCAGGCCGACCTGCATATCCAGGTAAGAAACTGCTGCATAGTAGCTCTGACGAATCAGCCTCTGAAAATTAAGAAACAGGAGAAGGAATAGAAGAAGAAAAAAAAAAAAGCTGGATACCTCAGAACATCTAAAAGCAGCCTATTGCTCCCTTGCATTCGAATGAGTTATGGAAGTTTGACTTCACTGTATTGACGGCTTACCTGGAAGTCATCTGGAAGTGGTCCATAAGGGAAGGTAACATTTAATGCTTTCACATCATCCCTCTGTCTGATATCCATCCAGGGGTTGTATGCCACAGGAGGCAGTTTCTCAGGCACCCAGGGATCTGGAGCTAACGTGATGTTTTCCAGGGGGTACAACTTCAGAAATTCCTTTGCAACGCAAGCACACAAAGACTGTCCTCACCTCTAAGGTCTACTGTAAAATTGCATTGCAAACCATTAACCATTTCTCCTTGCATGACCCTTTCTTAATGTTCTTGCAGTTAGTTTATAGACTTCACCCACCTCCAAGTATAAAGAGGTTATACTGCTATGTTAATTAATTCCGAAAAAACTGGTCACAACTCTCTCATTAAACATCCTGAAATTCAACACAGCTGCTAAAATTACACGGAGTAAAGGCTGTTTTTCAGTTTTCTTCTCAGAAACAATAATAACAAAGCACCTGTGAAACAGTTTTAATAAGAAAAACACTTTTCTAAGTTCCTTTCACCACAGGCTTTAGGTTCCTCACCTGTGGATACCTCAAAGGGATATGTGGCTTATGGTAGCCAACAGCCAGGAAGAATTTTTGCTTCCTGGTTTTCATAACGTTCAGTAAGCGTATGGCCTCTTCAGTGGTTTGAATATCAGGCAGAGTACCACCGGGCATTTCTGTCACATCTACTGGGCACACCAAGTTAGCATAAAGTCTTCCATCTTTTCCCTTGCAGGTCTTTAAAAAAAAAAAAGAAAAGAAAAGAAAAAAAAAACAGTTATGTAATTTAATTTCTGTACAAGCAAAGAAATAATCTTCAGTTCTGTAATTATCAAATAAATTCATTTCTCAACCCTTTCACCAATAAATGGTCTGCAGATCATATGCAAAAATGAATTTCTCAACTTCTATGAACGCTGAAAGCACCAACCAGCTTGATGACTGAGGCAGAAAGTTTCAGGGGCTGATGAACGCACAAAACATACAATTGTCATGTCTAAAGAAAAGCAGAATCTTTTCTAAAGCTGGCCAGAAGATGAAAAGTAGCTACACAAAAAAATACACAGCTTCTATAACGAATAGAGACTCTGACCTATTAAGAAGCAGGGTTCTTTTGGTTACACTGTACACATGCATTTTGTGATTCTTCTGATCCCATAGAAAGCTGCCTGAAAGCTATTACTGAGTCATTAATTTCTGAGCAAGTGCCAGCCATTTATGGTCAGCAAGGAAAGATAGATTCGCACAAATGGCTGCCAAGAAAAGGCGCCCTCAGCAGGCAGCTTGGGAGAGCTGTTAAATGAACATAAAGAGAACATAAATGAACACATTTATGTCGTGGATACAAATGCTGTTGTTAGAATCGGTATTTTTCAGCAGTAAATGCAAGAACAAAGTATCCCCAAGGCTGCCTGTACCCTCACAGCTGGATCTCCTAGCTCTGACATTTACAGACTCAGCACACAGCGTTATCCCAGTATGTGCACAAGTGTAAAACGGATTCTTTTAGGCCATGTGTAAGAGTAACAAACACTCTAGAAAATCAAATCAAAATTTCAGATTACTTAAAGCTTATTTCAATTATGAGTTCCCCTCTCTGGCTCAGCTCTGTATCTGTGATATAAATTCACCAATCCTATGACAATGTTTTGTAACCGAATACAGTAAGGCTAGCATGAAAGCTGATAACTTTTCAGATAAAGAATTTCATGACCTAGACGCATGGTTAAGATCACTTTATCTTGAATTCATCTTTATATCTCAGTAACATTACCAAATTCTAATTTCTAGATGGTTCAATTCAGAACGGGCTCATGAATTAACATGACACAACTTACCATGGAGTACAGACCTCCCTTGGAAGTTTTAGCAGCAGCATCAAACTGGAGTACTTATTTCCTTGTCCAATGTTACAGTCTCAAAAGCCAGACCACAGGCTTTTGTTAGACACAAAGAACTTTGTTATACCTGAAAACCATTCTTTGTTAGCATCCCACAAACCACTTTTACCTTATCATTTTCATATTTTTCAGTAGAAGGATGAAAGGGTGGAATGGACCAGCTGTATGGATAGTCATCGCTGTAGTTGGATGAAACTCCTGACAAAAGCAAAGACATAAAAGTGCTCTAGCAATTCACTGAATCGGGAAGCTCCAATGCAAACGTGAGTTGTTTTCAAAATATATGTATATTTGTAACTCCACATTTTAAACGTAGGCCATCTTCCCTGAAATACACCTGTTACTGAGGAAAGGCACTTCAGCTTTTCAAAGAACCTTACTTTAGGAGCAGAAGAAACAGAACTAATAATATATACATTCCTAATCAGATTTTTCATCAACTGAACATCTGTATACCCACGTAAGTTAAGCTCTGGGGTAAAGATTTACCAGAAAGAGAATCACCTAAGTATTATACTATTCTTCATGTCAGTGGTGTCATTAGTTTTTAACCAAAGAACCAAATTTCCTATTTAACCAGTATCATCAGCCATATGGTCTATATCTCCAGATCCAGACAGCCTATTGCGTAACATGAAATGTGTGTATGCAAAACTGGGACAATGCGGCTGTTCACCTTTAGTAGACACCTAATTTCAAGAAGTGTTTTGAAAATGGCATACATTTGTTCCAATAACCCCTAGACAGCACATGAAAACATGTATTAGATAGTAGTCATCTAATAAATCTTGAGGCATTAGAGATGAGCACAAGATTGCCTTAAATGATAATCTTTAACCATTGTACAATCTGCCCCACGATAACGATTTAAGTTGTCCATACAGATAAAAATCATGTCATTTATACACACACATTCTCAAGAACAGACCTCATATACAGGTATGTTATGCAGATGACAATTCAAACCTTACCAGGATGAAAAACTTTCCCCACAGACATGGTCACATAGCCATTCTCTTTGAAATACTGGGGCATTGTGGAATAGTTTCCTGAATGCACTCTCCAGTAGGAGTAGAAGTCATACAGCCGGGTAGTGTCAGGTCTGCGTCCAGTAAGGAAGGACACTCTACTTGGAGCACACACAGCTTGCTGAGGAGAGAGTCAGGCAAAAGGAAAATCAGTTCTGAACATGAAACAAAGCACACCTAGCAACTGCAACCTACCAACTTCAGCATGGCTGGACAAAACATCCACGGGCTCAGAACTGCAGTGAAAGTGATATACTTCAAGCTGGGCTGAACAGCATCTTTATTGGGAACCCAAATTCCCAACTGGAAAACTTTATCAAGACATACATTTACCTACTTATCATTATTCTTTGATAACCAATTCCTCTATGCTAAAGTTCATACATTACATTTCAGCATAACCATTCTTTTCTAATACAATTATTTAAGTAGTTAAGTAATGAAATACTTTTTTTTTTCCAAAGATCTGCCTAAAACCTACTGTTATAATACCAGCATGTATTTTGCAGAGAGAAAACATTTTCATTTTTATCTCACCTGTGCATATGCATTGCTGAACACAATACTGTGAGAAGCAAGTTGATCAATGTTTGGAGATTTCACAAGGTTATCTCCATAACAACCCAAAACAGGACGCAGGTCATCCACAACTATAAACAGGACATTCATGCCATCTAAGAGGAAACAAAATAAGGATATGCTAACTTGAGCTTCAGCAAGTAAAAGCTATTTTACAGACTTCATGCAGCCCAGAAATGTTCTGGAAAATTTAACCTGGAAGAATACTGAAGAGAAATAAAATAAGTCAGCAAGAACATCTAATATCTTTATAAGGAAATGTAAATACTGGGATTCAATCCCTCAACCAACACAAATTCAAAGGTTTTTATTCGGCCTAGGCAGAACAACTTCCCTTCCCTTTCACTTCCCTTTTTCACAGAATCATAGAATGAGCAAAGTTGGAAAAGACCAGTAAGATCATTTTGTCCAATCATCAACCCATCCCTACCATGTCCCTCAGTGCCACATCTCCACAGCTCTTTAACACCTTGAAGGACAGTGACTCCACCAACTGGGCAGCCTCTCTATTCTTTCTAACAATAAATCTTTCCTAACATCCAGCCTGAACCTCCCCTGGTGCAACTCCAAACCATCACCTCCAGTCCTATCGCTGTTACTTGGGAGCAGAGGCCGACTGCCACCTTACCACAGCCTCCCTTCAGGGAGCTGTGCTTTAAGATCTCCCCTGAGCCTCCTCTGCTCCAGACTGACCCATCCCAGCTCCCTCAGCCACTCCCCGTCACACTTGTGCTCCAGAGCCCTCACAGCTTCACTGCCCATCCTCGGGACACTCTCCAGTGCCTCCACATCTGTACTGCAGTGATGGGCCCAACACAGCACCAAGCTGTGACCTCACCAGTGCACAAAACGATGATCGCCTCCTGCTTCTGCTGCCTGCACTAGTGCTGACAGAAGCCAGGATGCCATCGTTGGCTTTCTTGGCCTCCTTGTTTCCCTCTGCAGCATTTTCTTCAGCTACCTCCAATTCTGTACAGAAAAACAAAAAACAAAACAAAAAACAAAACAAAACAAAAAAAAAAAAACACAACACCAAACCTGCAGTCTTTTGGTTCTATCTCCTCTTGAACTTTACAAGCTAGGGCCAAAGGAGGATTACTAAGCCGCATAATCCTGCTCCAAACAGAGTAAAATAAAGCAACAAGCTATCTAATATGATGCGTACGTTATTAAACACTCTCTGAAGGCAGCACGCTGTACTACAGCTCCAACACAACAGAAACCACCGGCAGCCAGCAGCCCTCAGAGCCCCGCAGGAGCACGGGCGGGAAGGAGCCCAGGCTGCAGCACGGCGTCTGCGCCCAGAGCTCGGCTCTCCACGCAGCGGCCCGGCGGGAGCCGCGCCCTCGCAAGGCGCCTTAACCCTAGCCCCGGGAAGCCCGGCCCGATTCGGCCCTCCCTTTCTGCTGCGGGGAAGGACGAGAGCCACCCGGGCCCCGCCGCACCTCCGGGCCCCGCCGTCTTGCGAGTGCGGAGCCTGGGGACCGCCGCTGCCACGGAGGAGAGCGCGAAGCCCGCGCTCAGGGCCGCCAGCAAACAGAGGAAGAGTCGGGCGGCGGCCGCCATGTCGCAGTGCCGCGGGGCGGGGACGGGAGCGGGCAGACCCGGCGGGGCTCTGAGCCCTGGGTCAGTCGCCGCGCCGTTCTCCCGCATGATGGCGCCGTAGCCACGCGCAGAGCTGTGCTGCGTCGGGCGCGGCCCGGCCGCGGTTCTCCGCGGGAGCGCTCGGCGCAGTGGGCGGCCGGGAGGGAGTGCGGGGAGAGCGGCAGGTCGGCTCTGCGGTACGGCTGAGGCGGCGTTACGGTCTGTCAAGGACAGCGCTGCAGAGTGAGGGCGCGGGTTTGTGTTCTTAGCACTGTTTAGTCCTACCGGGAGTCTCTAGGCACTTACTGCAACGCTACTTCTCGTTAAGGGAATGGTACCCGGGTAATTATGTCTTCCCCATGCAGATCACAGCGTTGAGGATTGAGGAAGTCAGGTGCGTTACACTTCATATTTAGAGAAGTTGTCTCTGAGTTTAGCTCTCATCCCATTTGTTAATCAGATCTGCTGCTAGTTAATGCTCATTTTCTTTAAACATGTACTGTGTGTCCAGAACTATTATGAGATCCAAGGGCTGAGTTGATGCAGTCCATTGGGATGCTCTGTACAGCAGGCAGCATGCGCTGGGCGCTGGCAGTGCCAGGGCTGAGATGTGCCCATTGCTGGCCTCAGTGGACAGGAAACCCGCATGTTGTTTCCCCTCTGCAGTATTAAAATGTCCAGGAAGAACATACTCCGTAAAAAGCTCTGAAAACTCTGCATGCTTTATGTTTTGAATTGTGGAAGAGGGAAGGGATTTATTGCTGGTATTCCTGAATGACATAATCTTGAAGTTAACCGTACAAATGCTTCCCATTTGCAACTGTAAGGTTATCAAAGAGCAATATGGCAACTCGGAAAAGAATCATAGAAACATAGAATTGCCTGGGTTGAACAGGACCTCAAAGATCATCTCATTTCAACACCCCTGCCACAGGCAAAGTCGCCAACCAGCAGACCAGGCTACCCAGAGCCACATCCAGCCTGGCCTTGAATGCCTCCAGGGATGGGGCATCCACAGCCTCCTTGGGCAACCTGTTCCAGTGCCTCACCACCCTCTCGGTGAAAAACATCCTCCTAATATCCAACCTAAACCTCCTGTCTCAGTTTAAAACCATTCCCCTTGTTCTATCACTATTCACCTTTGCAAACAGCCATTCCCCCTCCTTTTTCTATGCTCCCCTCAAGTACTGGAAGGCCACAATGAGGTCTCCCTGCAGCCTTCTCTTTTCCAAGCTAAACAAGCCCAGTTCCCTCAACCTTTCCTCACAGCAGAGCTGCTCCAGCCCTCTGCTCATCTCAGTGCCCCTCTGGACCCGCTCCCAGAGCTCCACGTCCTTCCTGTGCTGGGGGCCCCAGGCCTGGACGCAGCGCTGCAGATGGGGCCTCACAAGAGCCGAGCAGAGGGGGACGATCACCTCCCTCTCCCTGCTGGCTGCCCCTTTTTTAATGCAGCCCAGAACACAGCTGGCCTTCTGGGCTGCAGGCGCTCACTGCTGGCTCATGTCCGGCTTCTCATCCAGTAGGACCCCCAAGTCCTCCACAGGGCTGCTCTCAAGGAGATCTTCCCCCAGTTTGTATAAACAACTGGGTTTGCCCTGACCCAAGTGCAGCACCCTGTTGAATTTCCTTCAACCCTTGTTGAACCTCATTAGGTTTTCATGGGCCCACTTCTCTAGTCTGTCCAGGTCTCTCTGGATGGCTTCCCTTCCTTCCAATGTATCAACTGCACCACTCAGCTTGGTGTCCTTTGCAGACTTGCTGAGGGTGCACTCAATGCCATTGCCTGTGTCGTTGATGAAGATGTTGAAGAGCAACAACACGGTCCCAAGACTGACCCCTGAGGGATGCTGCTTGTGATCGGCCACTACTCTGACACAGAACCATTGATCACAACCCTTTGGCTGCATCAAGCCAACCAAAAGAATTACAGAAGAGTTAAAAGACCATAGTTATATGTTCTTAAACACTTAACAAGCAGGTGAAGTGACTAAATATAAAAAATACGAATACAAAAAGCACACACCAAGTTTTCACTCAGTGGCATGCAAATACTGCGGTCTGGTGATGCTAACCAAGATGGCACATGTTGTTTTTCTTTCTTTTTTCAGTCAAGCGCTCGGTCCTTCATGCAGTGACAAGGGATGTTAGTCCCCGTAGGGCCTCCAGACGGGACCGGAGGCCCTATGTAGAATTAACGATTTATTGGTCCCGAAAAAATATTCAGAGAGTTATGGCACTAGTAGACACAGGAGCAGAAACATCAATTATCTATGGAGATCCGGGAAAATTTGATGGCGACAGAGTGATGATTGGTGGTTTTGGGGGACAGACTTTTCCTGTCACCCAAACATGGTTAAAATTGGGGTTTGGGCGTCTCCCGCCCCGGGAGTACAAGGTGTCTATTGCCCCAGTCCAAGAATACATCCTGGGCATAGATATTCTATGGGGTCTGGCTCTCCAAACAACTGTGGGAGAGTTCAGACTTTGACAGAGATGTATCAGTATCCAGGCCGTGCAGGCAATATTAAGAGGCCATGCGAAACATGAGCCTGTTTGCCTGCCGAAACCGTGCCGGATTACTAATGTTAGACAGTATAGACTCCCGGGTGGGCAAGATGAAATATCGAGAACGGTGCAGGAATTAGAAAAAGTGGGCATTATAAGACCTGCACGCAGCCCGTATAACTCCCCCATATGGCCAGTGCGAAAGTCGGATGGCACATGGAGGATGACAGTAGATTACAGAGAATTAAATAAGGTCACGCCGCCTATTCATGCGGCCGTACCCAATATTGCCTCCCTAATGGACACATTGAGTAGGGAAATAAAAACCTATCATTGTGTCCTAGATCTAGCAAATGCATTCTTCAGTATCCCAATTGCTGAGGAATCGCAAGATCAGTTTGCGTTTACGTGGGGAGGCAGGCAGTGGACCTTTCAGGTCCTGCCACAGGGGTACGTGCATTCACCAACGTATTGTCACAATCTAGTGGCGCGTGACCTGGCTGACTGGAGAAAACCTGATGATGTTAACCTATATCATTATATTGATGATCTCCTGTTGACATCCAACTCACTGGAGGCAGTAGGACAGGCAGCAGATTCATTAACTGCCTATTTGCAACAAAGGGGATGGGCTATAAATCCCCAAAAGGTGCAAGGTCCAGGCCTGTCCATAAAATTCCTGGGGGTGGTTTGGTCAGGAAAGACCAAAGTGCTACCCAGTGCTGTTATAGATAAGGTTCAGGCGTTCCCAGTCCCTACAACATCAAAGCAGCTGCAAGAGTTTCTAGGTATATTGGGTTATTGGCGTTCCTTTATACCTCACCTAGCGCAGCTGCTAAGGCCACTATACAGACTCACAAAAAAGGGGCAGCTATGGGACTGGGGGAAAACCAAACAGGATGCTTTCCAACAAGCAAAACTGGCAGTTAAACAAGCTCAGGCATTGGGTATATTCGATCCTACCCTCCCAGCCGAGTTGGACGTTCATGTTACTCAAGACGGCTTCGGTTGGGGCCTGTGGCAACGCCAGAGTTCTGTTCGGACCCCCATTGGTTTCTGGTCTCAGGTTTGGCACGGAGCAGAAGAAAGATACAGTATGATTGAAAAACAGTTATTGGCTGCCTATTCGGCATTACAGGCAGTAGAGCCAATAACTCAAACAGCTGCAGTTATAGTCAAGACCACTCTGCCAATTCAGGGGTGGGTGAAAGATCTGACCCACCTTCCTAAGACAGGGGTGGCCCAAGCACAAACAGTGACACGATGGGTCGCCTATCTCAGCCAAAGGAGCAGTCTGTCTTCATCCCCCTTGAAAGAAGAACTCCAGAAGATCCTAGGCCCAGTTACGTATCACAGTGATGCACCAAAAGAAATACTGGTCGCTCCACCAGAGAAGAGTCCCGTTCAGGAGGGAAAATATCCTATCCCTGAAGATGTCTGGTACACAGATGGGTCCAGCAAGGGCAACCCGAGCAAGTGGAGAGCAATAGCATACCATCCTTCCACCGAGACAATCTGGTTCGATGAGGGGGATGGTCAGAGCAGCCAATGGGCAGAACTGCGAGCCGTGTGGATGGTTATAACCAAGGAACCCGGTGATGGTATCCTGAACATCTGCACAGATAGTTGGGCTGTGTACCGGGGGCTCACTCTTTGGATTGCACAGTGGGCCACCCAGGAATGGACTATCCACGCCCGACCGATCTGGGGCAAAGACATGTGGTTAGATATATGGAATACGGTCAAACACAGGACTGTACGTGTCTACCATGTTTCTGGTCATCAGCCCCTACAGTCACCGGGAAACGATGAAGCCGACACACTGGCCCGAGTTCGATGGATTGAGAATTCACCATCTGAGAACATCGCCCGCTGGTTACATCAGAAGCTACGGCATGCTGGACAAAAGACAATGTGGGCAGCTGCTAAAGCATGGGGACTGCCCATACAACTATCTGATATCGTCCAGGCATGCCAGGATTGCGACGCTTGCTCCAAGATGAGACCGAGATCGTTGCCCGAAACAACAGCCCATCTTGCTAGGGGACACAATCCTCTCCAGCGATGGCAGGTCGATTACATCGGGCCCCTTCCTCATTCCGAAGGGGCAAGATATGCCCTGACCTGTGTCGACACTGCAAGTGGGCTACTGCAGGCCTATCCAGTACCGAAAGCAAACCAGGCATATACCATCAAGGCACTCACTAAACTGATGTCTGCCTATGGGACACCTCAAGTCATCGCGAGCGACCAAGGGACTCATTTTACTGGTGCAATGATACAGCGCTGGGCAGAAGAAAATAACATCGAATGGCGATTCCACCTGCCATATAATCCAACGGGGGCAGGCCTCATCGAACGTTATAATGGTATTCTTAAGGCTGCCCTGAAGACAGACTCCCAGTCCTTGCAGGGGTGGACAAAAAGACTGTATGAAACCCTGCGGGACCTGAATGAAAGACCTCGAGATGGCAGACCCAGTGCCCTGAGAATGTTGCAGATGACATGGGCCACCCCGCTTAGGATCCAAATTACGGGCACTGATCATCAGGTAAGACCCCAGA